CTGTTCAGAGAGTTGTTGCTATTCTTTTCTTTGATCTCCTGTTGAGTTTGTAGGTGTTCAGAATGGTTTGATCCCTATCCAGCTGAATTCCTGAGACCAGAGGAAATCCAGGTCTCCTGCTCCTCCGCCATCTTGCTCCTCCTTTTCTTCTTCATCCTGCTCCTTCCCTTCCTCTTTTCCCTCTTACTTATATTACTGCTCAGATACTGACTTTTGAAACTCCTGGTTAAATATGGTGGATTGTCTGCAGACATGTATCTTTTACCTCCATAAGCTCCATCAAATTAATAGTAAAAAAAGAAAAGAAAAAGGATGTTTCCAAAGACAAAGAGGAGACATCAGTGGATTATATATTTCAATGTATTTTTGAAATGCAGGATGTAAATGGTAGAACAGAGGGGTTGTGAGCTAGAGTACCGGCAAAGAGGAAATCCCATAAGAAGTGAGCCTGAGCTGGTTCACCTGACAGAATCCCTGTAACTTAGAGGCCTCTTGGGCTGCTTGAATGAAGAATGTCCCAAACTGAAATCATCACCTTCCTCCTTTTCCTCCTCTACCACCACCACCACCTGCACCATCAACGCTATCACTCTTCCTCCTCTGTTCCCTCCTCTAGTCCTTACCCCAAAGGATGGCACCACTGACCACACAAACCAAAGTGTACCCTCCACAACCAACCTTTGAGTACAACACTGAAAACCATTATAGTGACTTCTACTGACACAAATCACTTCACAGTACCAATGTATGCTCCTGTATCTGTTCTCCCACAAGACCATGAGATCTTAGGGAACATTTCTTCCTTGACAGTAATTTCAAAGTTGAGCACATACTTGGCATGCAGTAGGCACTAAATAAAGAATTGGTGAAGAATCCTTCTCCCTGAAGGATGTTTTGTTCCTAGAATACCATCACTCCTCCCCACTCTATGGAGTCAAGCAAGATGATGCCGTTATCAATCAAAAGTTTTTCCAAAATTGAGTAACAGAATAATATTACTACAGTATTATACTCACTTATTAGGGCATGTTATTCCAATTAGAGTATATTATATTACTACTAGAGTGTATTATATTGCTCTAATATTAATACTCTATATAATTGCAATACCATTGTTTGATGGTTGTTCACTGAAGCCTGGAAGTTTTGAACCCTATGACATATCTTAACTCCTGTGATAGCCATTTGTGTGTCCAATCTGTGGTGGTAAGATATGATATTTATGCTCCTGGAAAGCAGATGGTACTTGGAATGACAGTGGTACTCAGGAACACAAGCTTTGTGTTTGTGTCCCAAATCTGCCACTGATTTATCCTGTAGCTTTAAGAAAGTCACTCTTCCTCTCTGAGAATAGGTCTTTCATCTTTAAGATGGCACAGTTGGGCTAGATAATCTCTAGGATTTGTGTTTCTCTAAGGCTTGTATACACCCAAGCTCATCATTAACCTTACACTAGAGATGCCCCGGTCTCTCCTTCAGGGCAATCCTGAGTGCTAACATTGCCTCCTTAATTCAGGTGATGAATGTGTATCAACAAAGACAGAGGTTAGAGACTTGTGTTGATCTGAGAGAACAGCCTGCACTTTCATCCTCAGGCTTAGAACCTATGTGAAAAATGCCTCTGAAGAAGTTGGACACTGGTTGTGCGTGGGTTTGATCCTTACTTTGTATCTTCTGCTGTTCTCTCTTTTTATGTTTTTCCAGAAGGGGAAAACTACTCAAAAGAGTCCAAGAGACACAGTCTTCTCTTGGAACATACACCCGCTGATTTCAATGATGTTTGTACACAAGATTGCTTGAGGGCTGGGAGGAAAACTTTTCTGATCCTTTTATATATGAATAAAAAGGAATGCTGCATTTTTGTCTTAACATTACTAATCTGGTCCAAGAGCTAGAGCTTTCTTGGGAATCACAGAGCCTGATTTTCCAGCCTCTGGTTAGAGAGACAGATGGGTAAACACAGATCTATCAGAACTCACTCTGGGTTCAAAAGACTTGGGAGGAGTGGTATGAAGCTCAGAATCTCTGCATGATTCCAGCTCCATCTGAGATTGGGGAGGCAGCACTTCCTTAGTTGGGCATGGAGGCTGCCTTATAGCTCACCTGATCTTTTCAACCATGCTTCTAGGTCTCT